ATCCTGAGAAGAATGCGAAGGCAGCTGGGACTCATTTTGAAAAGACTTGCTAGATGAAACTAGAATAGAACAGCACCACGATGGGAAGGAACAGAATGAAACTTCCTTTTGCGAGCCTCAATAGCAGATTCTTCAATCAAGCTTGATAGAAAGCGCAAGCCAGAGTAGGGGGATTTAGCACCTGAACGCGAGACTGGATTTAGTCGTCGAGGCCTCCCAAAAAACTCATAATGAAGTAGTATTCGTTGAGATTAGGATTCAATCTCAACATCCGTGAACGGAGATCTTCAAAGTCCTCCTGATAGCGAGACACCGTCGATGCATGTCTGCCGAAGTTGATTGAAAGCAGCAACGACATTGAGCTACTCATGTAAAACGAAACCAACTCTACCTTTTGCTCTTCTGGAATCGAATGCAGCTGTAAGAGTCGTGCACATTTGCTTAACCACATATGTGGATCTAAACCAGAGAAATAGGAGAATTCTCGGTGCGGGTAATGATCGAGAATTGACGGTCTCCGATGTTGAGGACGGTGATGCTGATGATCGGAAAGGTGAGTTTGCTAGTGCAGCGAATGAATCGGTGATCTGTCGCTACTCCGACTGAAGGATGCTGCCATGGCGTCGATGTGGTCCTTCGTTGAAGCAGCCAACGCCGCAATGGCGTCTTTCAACTCTTGGTGTTGAGAAACCATCTTGAGCTGAACATCCGCCATTTGTGCCTCCAAATCAACGATTCTCGATGTATTAGTCGCCATTGTTGCCAGATTAAAGGCTCTGAATACCACTTGTAAAGATCGTTTATGGGAATCTGGCGAGTTGGATAGAAATGGAGAAGAAGAGAATACAGGGGAAGGAGAGTTCTTGATTTATTGCTAGCTATTGGTAAAGTAGTTACACGAAGAATGATTGGGTAAAAGCTGACCAGTTACCATTTAGTTCTCTCTATTTATACATGAGTCTACTTTACACGTCACTCATGGCAGCCTGGCTAGGTTTGTTACAAGGGGAATTCTGAGGTGCCGCTACGGCATTGATGCCGTAAATAATTTGGTCCGATACAAATACTTCACATCAGGTTGGTTCGTTCCATTTTTAAGTTCGGTTATCCGGAAATTTATAACGAACAAATATGAAGTGCATGATTCCTTTTCCTCTCACCTTTCCCCTTCTTCTTTGCTAAATTTTTTTCAGTCCCTGACTCCCTTCACCGCAATCCAAATTATCACCACCGATCGCCGTTGCCACCGCCCCGGCCACCACCTTCACTAACAAACCCGACCATCAAAGCTCAAGGTTTCTCGAACTGAATTTAAAATTCTTAAGAGCTGACTATTTTTCGTTAGTTCTGACCGGTGTTAAAAACGTTAGTATTTAACAGAAAGTCTAGTTAGCGTCGTTGTGACATCGTAAGTGTAATTTTAAATACAATTCTTTTTTTTTCATGCCACTTAACAAATTAGTAAAATTAAAATAAAAAAAATCATCTTCCTCCTCAGCATACCAGCCGTTTGATCAACTACAAATTTTCTAGCTCGGAATCGACCGAATGATCTTGGAGATCAAAGCATCCACTGCATTAGAGGCTTGCTTGCTTCATCCACAAATGAGTCATTTTTCCAGCCAACTACTGAAATCGATCATTTCCCCGTTGTTTTTGTAGGAGATTGGAGTTGGGGAAGTACAGTCGCCGTCGATGTGGGGAATATGCGATACTAGGTTTTGGTTGATATTTTCTATTTTATTCATTTGTTTGTTAATTTTAAATAAAATTTATGATGCGCCAATGACGTGACATTTACATGTTTGTCACATTTTTATCACGTCAACGAAAGTCAATATTACTTAACAACCATCTGTTCAATCGTTATCTCTAAGAGTCAATAAAAGCGTCATTATATAAATGTCACCAGAATATCATACGACATGATATGATTGTCATATTTAATATTTTTTTGTATTCCCAGTAAAAAACAATCATAATTAAAAAACAAAAAAAAATTAATACAAAATTTTGGGTGAAAAAGGCGGGTCAACCTAATACAATAGGTTTGGCCGAGTGTGATTAAATGAGGGTTATAATCAAAGGCCAAGGGTTGATAATCCAACGGCTCTCACTACGACGGCACTCATGCCGGCACGGCACTACAGTTTTGCCGTTGTTACAATCATACTAACAAATTGGGTTGCCGTTTTTTAACCAAAAAAAAAAAAAAAAAAAAAAAAGGGTTGCCGCTGTCACTGAACTTCTGCGCGACATATTTTCCCTCAATATATTAATTAGCCTTCGCCTAGAAGAAAACTAATGAAAGTTAACCTAATGGAATACGGCGGGTGATAGCGAGCTAGCTATGTTGACCGACTACTCTTAGGATTCAAATCCCACACAATTACTTGTTTAGAACTAAAAATTGGAGACAGGGTGTGATTAGAATTAAATATATACACTTCGACAGGGTGTCGTTAGGGCACGAGGTAGGTATAAACCGGAGACAGATTTTCCATTACTTTAATTCTTGTACGTTTAACATGATTTATTTTTTTATGGATACATCGCCAATATATATACAAATACCTAATAACGAAATTTAAAATGGATATTACCTCAATTTCCGCCAGAGAGGAGACCTCTAACGGTGTCATAAACCAGTTAAATCAACTGTTAATATTGAGGGTCGTGGAGATTCGAACACACGACCACTTGACCAAGCCATCTCTAATACCATGTCATATAAACCAGTTAGTCTCAATAACTCGAGTTGTTGGAAGAAGGTTACGGTATGCTAGATTTTATACACAACTCTAACAAACGGCATCTACAATTAATATATGTATATGGATCCCTTCTGACCTGAGTAGTAATGATTAGTGGGGAATTGAAGCATCATCATTTCTCTCCAAACCCTTAACGGCGATTGCATCAAAGAAGCTTTTACAACTGGGCCTCCATGTCACTCTGTGCCATCCCAGCTGATTGTTGGAGGAGATCCGTAGTGATCTCATGGTATCAGCAAGTTCCAGTGCACGCACTTAATTATTTCTGAACATTTTAGATTCTTAGGATTCACTTTGTGTAAGCCTAGAACAGCAATTTATTGTTAAAAATGTGTTGTACATGCAATTTGTTGGAAGTGGATGATTCGTCTTGAACAAAACAAGTGAATCTTTCATGATATATATACGACTGAATAATTAACGACATCAATATAGTATTCTAAGTGGATAGTACTATTTGTAGGCATTGTTTTAAGATATGGATGGTTCACTGTAAGCTTGAAGATAATAATATTTAGCCAATAACCCGTTAAAAGATTCCTTATGCGTACATATATACATGATAAAATCCAGATTCAATTCTATGCATATGCCTTTAAATCTTTTTATTATTATTTATTTTTGTTTTTATACTCTTATATGTAGCGATCAGCCAGATTTACACATCTATAGTGCTGGCAAAACGGGATTCAGTATATCTCCAAAAGTAACCAATTGACAGATTGAAAGATAGATGTGGAAAAAGGTTATATAGTTAAAAAAATACTCTTATTATTGAAAAACACCCCACAGAAGTGATAACTAATGAAATGCAACAGAAAAGGCAAAGGCAAAGCAGTAAAGTGGCCATTGTGTATTAGTTTATTATTAAAAAAAAAAAAAACAGGGGTGGGTTGGGCTGGCCAGCAAGCAAAGTAAAGCAAAGATCTCATCAAAGAAATTTGTAAACCCTATAATGAGCCTTTATATTACTTTACCACCTTTAACATAATAATAATTCAGTGGGATCACCTCGGGACAACAGTAAATTAAAGTTGGCCTCCAAAGGGTTGATTGTTTTTTTTTATATATATCATTAATCTTCCATTCATAATATGGTATACTGTTCATGCTGTAAAAGTCAGACACTCGCCATCATAATTTTACTGATGTGTAATTAGGGATTAGCAATATGCGGGTTGGGTGGGTCAATTTTTATTCACCATTCAACTTCATTTTCACATTAATAATATGACATATATACTTCATAATTATAGTGATGTTTAACCTACTTAATAATTTATTTTTATATATTTACATGTTATTCAAATGTTTCGACCCATAATGGTTCGTAGTTCGAGATCAGCCGATCTAAATTGATTAAGATCAAAATAAGCTAATATCTAGTTTAAATATGAAACGAAAAATCCCATACATGAGGATCTAAAAGGTAAAATCCTCAAGAGTAAAGATTGAGAAGACTTAAAGAAAACTTAGACTTAGCCTAGCATATTGTATTGTCGATTTTCAACCGGAAGATCTATACATGTTCAAGTCTCTCATAACCTCTTTCAAGCAAGTTTAGTCTCTCTATTGGTTTTCCATTTATCAAACTTCAATCCTTGTTATTAAATTAAAATTCCGATTCATGAAGGGTAAAAAAAGCCATGGATTGAATAGGGTTTGATGTATTTTTCTTCTTCTTTTGTTCAAGCCTTCAAGGCTCTTAGTGGATGGATCTTTCTGGATCTGAAAGGAATTTTCATCAATCAATAGACTCGATCTCTTGACAAAAAATAAAAAACCCCAAACCATACTCATAACTAACCAAGAAAACACAAATTAAATATCAACAAACCATACACCAACTTCCATTTATTTTATTCAAAATCCAGCCACAGCTACACTATCTTTTCTTTAATTTGTCTACCTAATTTCCCCTTTGTTTCCTTGTATGATCATTTACAACAATCACAAACGTGACACCAACACAACATTTCCCCTTGTCTTTCTCCTTCAAGTACCAACAATTACATCACAATTAATCCAGAAAAATACCAAAATTATTAACTGGACTTAATTCCCCAATCCTTCATGAACAGAGATACCCAAAGAAACCTAAAAAAAAGGAAGAAAAAAAAAAACAGGACTTTCATATAATTTCGACTTGGGAGTCAATAGTACTACTACTGCATCTGCATGGCACACACGACGACTATAACCATTAATTAAATAGTTCCCTCAGCCTCAGGAGTCCATCCCACGTTGCTTCTGAAGCTCCCTGTAGAAGTTGGCAATGAACTCGTCGGCCTTCTTGTCAACGACGCCGTTATCCCCGGCGTCCTCCTCCCTCAACGGGAACGGCGAGTCCGTTATCCTCAGCTGCCTCACCCTCATCGGGCTCTTCCCGAACCCGGGCAGCATCGGCGACGGCGCGTACGCATTGCTGTTGTTGCTGCCGTTAATGATCTCCAGCGCCATCCTGACGGCGTTGACGGTGTCCTCTTGCTCCTTCTCGTTGTCCTCCCGGGTGGGCGGCGCGTGGAATGCGCAGGACAGGAAGCCGTTGCCTCCGGCGGAGTGGCGGTTGGTGCGGCCGCCGCGCTTGGTGGCGAGGAGGGCGGGGAGGTGGAGCTTGGCGAGGGTGGCGGGGAGGTGGAAGGTTGGGAGGTGGTGGGTCGGGGTGTTGCTGCAGCTGAACTCGTACTCGGTGGCCGGCATCGGCGGTGGGGAATTGGGGGCGGAGGCGGAGGAGGAGGCGGCGGCGGAGTGGTGGTGGTGGTGGTGGAACATGAGGTTGCCGATGGCCTTGGAGGCGATCTTGTTGCCGCGCTTCATCATCATGTTGAGATCTAGGAGGAGCTTGCGCTTGGAGATGAGGCCTCTTCGGAGCATGAAGAAGATCACCCGTACGATCCCCCAAGCTTTCTTCGCTACCAACGGCAGATTTTGCTCCATTTTTTGACACCTTTAATAATTCTGAAGTAAAGGGGAGGGAGAGAGTGTGCTATTGAATATTGATTGAGAGCTTTTGATTTCTAGAGAGAGAGAGGTGGTGGGTGCTAGTGGGAAAGGATTTTATGAATGGCAAATGGGATGGGATGGAACGGAAGAAGGCAAGGAGTTGGGGCTTATATAGGGGAGGAAGCGCGGGTGATTATCCAAAATGGTTATACAATTTTCAATGTTTGTCCAAAGTGGTCACATGAAACTTTATTTGTTTTTGAAAATGGTAGTGTGTGACATTAAAGTTTGTGACAAAATGGCAATTTTGTTAGTATCCATCCAAAATTGTGTTCATTGCATATCATCATCGTTCCACGCGGGCCATCGATATCGAATAACAGGGAACTACTAAACTCCACATAAGCGCTGTTACATCGGAAGCAAGCATCCGTCAAAGCCATATGTAGACGTTGGACACATACTCCCAACCCCTCCTAAAAAGAAGACTCAACTTCATGATGACTTATTAAATGTGAGTTTTCTTTTGCAGGTCGCAAGTATGGGTTGATTATGAGTCGGGTATATTTGGTTCGAGTGATCATACAGGTAAAGATCGGTGTGGTTTCTAATAACTTAAAGGTTCTAAAATTAGTTGACATTTTGGAAGGAGATGAACATACCATTTTGATACGAATTTGTAAAACTGAGTTATCAATTTCAGATAAAAAAGAAAGCTAGATGACCATTTTTGTGCAAGTGTGGAAGTCATGTGACTATATGTAACGTGTATCATTTTGCCCATGGAAGTGGTGATGTGTACCATAGGGTACACGGAAGTATGGTGGTCCTTTATGTGGTTATTTTTTTTTTAAGTTGGGATTTGAGTAAAAGGGTTGGCGGGGAGCAATGATTGTGGGTAAGGAGAGAGAGAGAGAGAGAGAGGGAAGGGAGCAGTCGTGAATATGAGGCTTTCTTTCAATTTTGGGGGATTGAGGGGCTTACTTACTTGGCGAGGGATAGAAACTTAATAAGGAAGAATAGGGGGAGAGAGAGAGAGAGGGTTCAGAGTTGGATATGTTTCTTAACCGACAGCTAGTCAATGGGATTGTAGCGGCTTCACTTTTATTCCCGCCCGCGCCCGCGCCCCGCCACGGTGCCTTTTTGGCCCAGCTAGCAAGCGGAGCTGCTTTTGCTCTTTTGGGTTTTGGGGGTTTCCTTCTACCCAACCGTTGAGTCATTCACACACTTGCTTCACGTAATGGTCTGCCTAATACCCCAAGTGTGGTATAGTTTGAAGTCAAAACAAGTTGGGAACGTTGTATTTATGCTGGATGTGGATGCATGGCTTTCACCTTTACCTCACTCGTATTACCGAGGTGTATTTACCTAACAAAGAAAATGACGGCCTCCCCCCTTTCGTGCTCAATGAATTACAATTTACAAGTGCTCTCAACTCTTAATCAATATACTTGCACAAACTGAAAAAGTTAGTGGGTGAAATCCACATATGAGAAACCAAAACACAATCTTACATGTCAAATTCGGTTAAAATTTGAAGATGAATTGAACCAACATCAGATCTTTCAGAAGATCAATTGTACGAATATTTATAACCTAATTGTTAATAGTGGTATATGTTTCGTAACTTACACCTCTTTCAACAGTTCTAGTTATTGAGACCAATTGATATTTTTTTTATAATGGTGAAAATGCATTGAAAAAAAGGAAGGAACTCTACAAACAGAAGCAAGCCTTCTTCACTAGAAGTGAAGGAAAGGCAACAAGTCCGGACAAAAAATAGAAAAGATAAGAAAAAGAAAACGAACAAGAAAAAATACACTAGACAAGGACAGAACCAAGGCTCGCAACCTATCAAACTGCAGAATCGCAGGGCCGCAGACACACCCAGCGGCGCCGCTCAAACCAAGCATGAAAGGGAAACACAATACCCGCTAACGGAAACAACTTGCAATTTTCAACACCCCTGCATCCATACCCAGCATGTCAGCACGCGCACACCTGAGCAATCAGACGTCCAAACATCAAACGATGCAAGAGGGGGTTTTGCAGTCTTAATCCTCCAGCCGTCCCGAACACAAAGACCACCAAGTAGAAAAGAACACGGGTCACAAAGCAGGGGCTGTCAATTGGTGAGAGGGATCAAATCCTCCTAAGCTTCTCAATGAACCAAAGTCTGCTACTGTTTTTTTTCAACCTTATCATGAGCAACAATCCATTCAATAGCCGATTTACAGGCTTTCCGAGCGATCACCACCGCCCGCATGCTAATGCTAGTGAAGATACGTTGGTTACGTTCAAAGCCAAACATGCCAGCATACTGAGTGAAGAGCACAATACGCAAGCCACGAGTCAATGCTGATATGCTCCCTACAAGGCCAGCTCAGGATGACAGAAAAATATCCCCCGAAGGAGGAACCACCAAATCACAAGCTCTCTGAATAGCTAACCAAATATCACGAACAAAAGCACAATCCATAAACAAGTGATTCACAGATTCCTCATGACTTGTACACAGCTCGCATCTATTGGCGAGGATCATACCGAGAGGTCATCTGTTCTAAATCCCAGCGAGCCCATTTGTTAAGTACAAGGTGTTTGTATGTCTGAGAAAACTTAAAATCCTTCTGAGTTGACTTTCATTTGAGAGGATATTGTTAATTAATTGTATATAATCAGATGAGAGTCATACATATAACATATACATACATGGGATTGTCGTTTGATAATTTTGTGTGTTTTACGTTGAAAATTGTGTGGATTTGGTTCGAATTGACCATAGAATAATCCTTATATCATTATCAAATGTGTGGTGTGTTTCTGCCATTTTTAGTGCCACTTTTACATGAAAATGAGTGCAGATGCAGATCCATATAGCAGAGACACAATAAAGATTTGCAGAGGCATGATCAGTAGAACCAAGCATCAATTCAAAACCAATTGGGTTGGACGGATTTCCTAGCTAATTGAGCTGACAGCGGAACGAACATATGGGTTCAATTATTTAATTGGGTCGGGCCCAAATATTCTCTCATGGCCGAATTGGGACACGGAAACAATGAGATTATTTCATGGGAGAAGGATTGATTTATTTGGCCCAAGTCCACTGTTTTTAGTGGCGGAGGAATTGGACGCTGAAGAGAGGAATTATTTGGACCAACGGAGAGGAGGACAAAACTAGGCCGGGGGAAAATTAATGGAAAAGAAATTCATTGGAGAGTAAGTAGCAGAGCTGAACGAAGGGAACGAGGGAGGTAAACGGAAGAAGTAGCACTGGCAATCGCGATCGCGAGGACAAGCGCTGGAGCAGGCGATCGAGTATTTCCGTTCCTTTTATCTGATTAGCTTCATGATGATTAATTATTTAAGGATACAATTGTGTGTTTTATTTTCCTTAAGAACTAAACTCTAATTTTTGGAGAAGACCGTAAAATATAGCTATTGGATTTCTATGATTTAATTCGAATTATTTGTCTTTATTATCCATATTGTGTGTGGATTTTTAATGATTTATATAGACTGGCCATCTACATATTGATTTATTGTTCTAGGTTGAGACCGAGAGAATATATCTAGAATAGAACACTCTTACATATGTAATAACACCCAATTGAGCACAAGAGTGGAAAGAGGAGTTGTGTGATTATTAGAGAAGTTATTGGACTTTAGTCTAGGTAGTTAATTAATTGGTTATATGAGAGTAAACGATTAATTGACTAGTTAGTACGTAGTGATTCTTCATAGAGATAGCTATCACCTTAGAGATAACTTCAGTCATTTGAATGAGAATTAAATTGATTAGTAAAATAATTGAATCTGGTAATTAGGTAGTGAATTGCAGGTCGTCTTTTCCCAGAGCTTCTCTCCATTAATTTTCTCCAAATTAATTTCTCAATTGCTTTTCTAGTTTAGTTATTTCTTTTAATTTGTATGCCACCCAAATACTTTTGTTCTTTTTAGCTCCTTAATTATTATCGTTAAATATAGAGTTGTACTATTCCCTGTGGGATGATAATTTACTTATCTTTATTACACGATCGATAAAGTGCATATACACTTTTATCGAATCATAATACATAATTGAATCTCTCACAAGAAGTTAAGTTATTCATATCATCTGGTTGTCTACACAAATATCTTAATGCGCTATTTTCTTTATAAAGCATTGAGAAGGATAAATCGTCTCCCACTCTATCCGATCTAGAATGTTGTCTAGCTGGGCAATTGTCATATGCAGTTAATGGTGAATAACATTCTATAGGAGGTTCCAAACTGGGATTATTCACTTGAATAGCTTTGTCATGATGTCCCTTAGAGTAATGGTAGAAAAAGAATAGTTAATTTTGGGTGAGATAGCATGATTACCTCTAAAGAAGTTGGAAAAATGACACCCCTATTAATTATAAGATATTAAGATAATAAGTTTGTGCTGCAATTATTAATTCTCTGAATTAAAAAACCATATTAATTACTTTCCTTTTTTCATTGCAACACGAGTTTAATACAAAAAAATAACTATAATTAATAGGATGTATCATTTTTCAACCCCTTAAAAAGGTTAGCAAGCTCAGCTAACGAAGAATGACTTACTTGATGTGATATGGATAAGACAACTAAGTATATATTTATGACTCACTAACTAACGCAAGAAACTCTTATACGACTAGAGCTATTTTTTTCATAAGGGGGAGCCCGAGGCCAAAAAAGGAGGGGGAAGGGGTTATAAGGGTTGAAGAGAATGTGTCACCACACGACGCTCAAAAGAAATTCTCATATTGTCCTCTCTAAGAATGGGAGCTAAAGCAGGAGGGGGTTCTGCCATTTCATGCATACTAGCGAGATAGACGAGACTGTGCTTCGAGAGCTAGTCCGCGAATCTATTTCCTTCCAGGTACACATGGACAATGCTAACCAACCACTCCTGAGACACTTTCCTCTGGATTGAAGCAAGTAGTGAAGCATAGGGGTGTAAGGGATCCTGACGACTGTTGTTC